GACAACTAAGGCATGGACTTTACTGTTCAGATATAGCTGACTCCACCAAATAGTTGTTCCTATTTCAGAGGAGCTTTTCAAAGGTAAGCAGAGCTGTAGGCACCTCAGAGATTAGCTGAACATTGTTAGTAAGTTTAAATAGTATGGTGGAGTTAAGTATTCAGAATTCCAATTGTTATCAGATTTTATGGGGAAGAGATAAGTTTGAAAATTGTATTTCTAAGTATCTTCATAGACAGAGGAAATTAGGGGAAAATAACTTTAGAAGCAAAGATAATGATAATTGTGGACAGTTGTTATTAACTGTTAACACAGTTGTTACTGTGTTATTGGAAAGGGGTGCTCCTTTCCAGACATGCTGGGCTCAAGGTAATCTTTGAACAACTCAGGTACTGTTGCCCAGATAGCATAAACAATCACATTTTTAATTACAGTGGGAAATGTAGTAATTATCATTTTAGAAATGCATTAATTTTCTTTTTACTGAATGGAGCATGGAAGGGTCTTGGGATATATTGTTTTCAGATTTGGAAGAATCTGAAACTAAAATTATGTACATTTCTGAAAAGAAAAAAAGTAGCAAATCAGTAATCACAGCAACAATTCGATAGCTGTGAATTGCACGAGGTAATACCTTGTAGGTCTGGAGCCCTTGTACACCTCCATCAAATGTGACTGTAATTGAGTCACATATCCAAAAAGGATTTGGGAGCAAGAGAAATGCCATGTAAAGTTCTGTGAAAAAAATGCTTAAATTTGAAATGCTCATAACTATCAGAGTTCCTCACTATTTATACTTGAAAGGTGTGTGACAAATTTGTCCTTCAGGCAAAGTGACAGAAGTATTAGAAGTGAGTTCTGGTGACCAGGTTTATATCAAAGGCAGTTGTGGGCTACCTGAACCTTTGGTTCTTGTGCCCTTGGGATCGTTTTTCTGTTGGGCTATGGAATTAAGTCTAATAATTTAATTTCTTTGACCTTCAGTTTCCCTGTTAGTAAAATGGAGATAACGTGACTTAGCCAGCTTTGAGAGAAGTGTTGTCATGGCTTAGGCCCAGACAGCCACAAAGCAGCTGCTTGTTTGCTCCTCCCCACCCCCCCATGTGGGATGGGAAGAATTGTAAGAAAAAGGCAAAACTCATGGGCTGGGATAAAGACAGTTTAACAGAACAGCAAAAGAAGAGGAAAATAACAACAATGATGCTGATAAAAAGAATATTCAAAGCATGGAATACACAGCACAGTTTTCTCACTGCCCAATGTCTAGCCCACTCCTGAGCCACAACTTGCCTCCCCCAGCTGGCTCCCCCAGCTATACAGTGAGCATAACATCACACGGTATCGAATATCCTGTTTGTTTGGCTAGTTTGGGTCAGCTGTCCCAGCTTATAGGATAAGACATCCTATATTAATTTGTAGCAAATTTTCAAACCTGTAACCACGCAGTATCAATAAATTATAAAGTAAGTAATTCCTCTCATGATTATTTGTAGAGGGTTATAATTTCATGTATACTTGAAGAATGGTAAACTTATTCTACCATATAAAAGCTGTATTTGTATGATTTTTTTTTTTACAAAAAAAGAGTAACTTTTACTGATTGGCTACAACTTTGCAAAATAGTAAGTATGTAAATCTTCAGTCTTAACCTTCCAGTTATACCTCTTTCCAGTGTTGCTTTCCATAAAAACAAATAAGCCGTGTTGTCATTGCTATGCTTTCTGTCAGTACCTCCTACTTGGTCAAGTGTGTGTTCATCAAGGCTCTTGTCTTGTCGATATGTGACTGCTGTACCATTGTCGTGGCTTATGTCATGTCTTGAACTCCCACGTATGAGAAAAAAATACAGCTATAGCCCTTTGAAGAACTCTTATAAAATGTGTTTCTAATTAGATACATATAATAGCGAGTACCAGAGGGATTTGTTCATTGTCACAGGCCTTCAGAGCTGAATTTCCACAACAATTTGCTGAAGCACATAGACAACAAGAGGCGTTTATGACTGAATGTGACTCAGAGATAAGAGATGTGCTAGATCTGAAGGATCTGAAATAAGAAGCAGTGGGAAGCAGAAGCATTCTTGTATTTCAAGAAAATTATACTTAGTGTTTATCCACAGAATTCAGGCAGCAAACACTTAATATAACATTTCAAAAGGAAGCAGTTTAAAGCATACTTTCAAAAGACATTTTTAAACATTATCTGTAGTCCAATAACAGCAAGTGCTTGTTAAAAGATTATATCTAAAACTCAGATAAATTTGTCATTTTTCTAGTGACTGACTACACAGTAGAAAAGAGAAGTTTCACTTCTTCATGTAAGCATAAGGTTCTCTGCTGGGACCAGTGGCTCCAAAGTGCCTTGGAGTGTTCTGCTGGATGTGCTGTGCACAAGCAGCTTTTTAATCAGCTGTTGCTTACATGCAGTGTGACAAGTTGTGCCATGAACAGCCAATCTAATGAAATTTAGTTTCCTATGGCTCTCTCCCGCATTTCTTTTCCCCTTCATGTTGACTGATAAAAGATGATCTTGTAAGTCTTTCTTTGTATGAAGACTTAATAGAGTATCTCTTCTTCTTTGTAGGCCTATTTTCCTGCAACTTTTGTAAAAAAAAAAAAAATCTTTGAATCTTCTAGTCTTTTGTCCAGTTTGCTTACAATTGTTCAGGAGCACAGAAGTTATTTCAAGGGAACAGACATTGCACGTGGATATTAGTGCTTAAACCTCATTTCTTTGGGAAACAAGTCCAAATGCAGTATTTAGAATTTTCACTATAAGAAATCCAATTATCTTCATATGTCAGAAGGAATACTTGTATTAACTCCATCAGACTGCATGTATACTTGTACGTAACATTAAATTATTAAAACAATTAGTGAAACACACCAAGTTAAAATGCTGCAAAGTTAGAAAAAAATGCCAAATTAAGGTTATCAAATCTAAATTAATGTTTCCTTCTCTTGTACTGGTAGTTGTAATGTTTCATGTTACATGCAAAGCCAGGTGTACCATGAACAAGCTAATGGAAAAGAAAATGCTCAATAGACTTCATGTCTCAGAGTTGGGTTTAAAAAAAAAAAAAAAGAGTGTGTTAAGACCATGCATCTGGATGAAGTTTGTATGTTCCAAAGTCTTATGAGCAGCCTATGATCAAAGAGTAGATGTGCGTTAGAGAGGCCATGAAATCTCCATCCATGGAGATATTCAGACTTCAGCTGGACAGATCCCTGCACAGCTTGATCTATGATGGTTGTGCTTTGAGCAGAGGTTGGACCAGGTGACCTCCAGAGGGCCCCTCCTGACCTTTTAGTAGGCATGGTGGTGATGGGTTGATGTTTGGACTTCATGATCTTAGAGGTCTTTTCCAACCTTAATCATTCTATGATTCTAAATAAATCTGTGACCAGATCTGTAGACCAGAAAGAGCTGTCCTATAAAGTATAAGTAACCCATATGCTTTAAATCATCTAAAATTATTTCTGTGTAAAGCAATTCAAACCTTCAATACTGTCTTAGCTTTCATTAGATCAAAACAATATTTATTGTAATTCTTTAAAATCTGTACATAGTCTGCCTAATAGCAAGTCTGGTTGGCTGTTATTTGGTTATCTATAAAAAAAAGAAATCACAACAGGCCTAAGTTTTGCTCATGCTGGATATAGTCTCACTTCAGATCTCCTGAGAAAGGACAGAATTGTATTACTGTCACAATATCTAGAAGATTAAGTAGAACGTGATATGCTGAATGATAGACAACCTGACGCAAAAGAGCACTTCCAACAGAAATGCAAGAAGAATCCTATATAATTTGATACTGAATTTAGAGAATGAGATTGTCATTCTTGATAAACAATGGTTTGTCATATGTTTTTTATAAGGGATGGATAGTGTACAGTCTAAAATATTGTCTGTCTATTCAGAAGGTGATATAATACAGAGGTGTGCAGAAAAAAGTGCTTCCTGATTTGGAAAAGTGGTTTAACAAAATTTAATTAGTACAGTTTGGAGAAAAGACAACAAAACAAGAAGAGTAAACCCGTAAATACTTGAGAGAAATGACTAGGTGATATAAAAGTAGGAAATAGCCCTCAGCTATAACAGGAAGGGAATAGTATCGTGTGTCTGTCGTATTTTACACATATGCAGTACCATGGGTCTGTGGAATGAACTTAGCAAACACGCAAAATTGAATTGTGAACAACTAGAGGATAGCTATAACAGCCATTAGAAAAACAGTTGTAGATAGATCCTAAGGTTTATTAGATGATCAAGTAATTCATCAAGGGAAGTTCTCAAGCACATATGTCAGATAACAGTAGCAACGGCAGGTCAAACTTTATTATACGAGGTCCTCCAGCATTACTGCAGGGAAACGTAGTTTCCAGTCCTAGCACATAAGGTATATGAATACAAAAAAGAAGCAAAGTAGTGGACAGAAGGAGAGAAAACATGTACTCCATTACTCACATCAGATAGATTAAGAAGTTGTTTGACAACCACCAGTGACAGATATTGCTTAACCATGAATACTTCTTCTATACACTGTATAGTAAGTTATGTTTGCATAACCTTCTATACACTGTATACTTCTATACTTCTATACACTGTATAGTAAGTTATGTTTGAATAACCATTTGAATAAACAGCTTTGCACTTCTCACATATAATGACTATTACATGCCTCTCTTGATATTGCAATATTCTGCATTTGAACAATAATAAGAGATCCAGATTAATTTCCACTTCAAATGTCAGATCTATCAACTGTTTTCTCCAGTACAGGTTTTCTGGTGTGACTGAGTACTCACTAGGTCTCTAGATTGTGTCTGTGAAAGGGAAGAATTTATTCTTGGTTGTCTTTTATATGTAACATTTTCATTCATATGCACCATATTCATAGTTTAGTTTTGTCTTGGATTGAACTAATGGTCTAACAAACTAATTTTAACTCAGTTGATGGTGAAATTATTAACGCACTGCTTCTCTCTTCCTCCCTGCAGTATGCTGTCTGGCTGGTCCTTTGGGTTACATGGAACGTGTTTGTTATCTGCTTCTATTTGGAGGCTGGGGACCTTTCAAAGGTAATTTACCATGGGATACATTTAAGCCATCAGCACTGTGTTAACATGCCCCAGTTGAAAAGCTGTGTTCTCTTTTACTCATCCTCTTAGTGCTATTAGAATGAGCATAGTATGATGGAAATTTGGAGTATTCTGGGTAGGTTGGAAACTTTTAATCTGGACAGAAATGAACATATACCTTCTGATGCCCACAACAATAATGGTATATATGTTTTAAAAGAAAATTACCTCTTTTTGCCCCCTCAGTAATTCTGCAATGCAAATATCAGCTCTATGAGAGACATTAATTAGTGATTTCATGAATACCAAAGATTACCATCTCAGGGGTAGACAAATATTCTTTGTACCATTTAGCTTGCTACTACTTAGCTGAATTCCTTTCAGGGGTCTTATACCACAGTGTAATAATTGTTAAATAAGGTGTCTTTCATTAAATTAAAAAGTAAACTGAGATACCAGCGTAAATTGTCTTATGGCTACAGCACTGTTTTTTAACTTTGTACTTCATGTAGGAATGTTAGGTTTGAATGCTTATGCACAGTCAAAATCCATAGGAAAAATATATTTTCCTAAGAATGACATATTTATAGGGTTTTATTGACACTGAAGTGCTAACACATAAAGTGGCAGTTGGTAATGGGCTTAAACCAACATCTCAGACCAAAACTTCTACTTTGTAAGGCATTCCCGGAAGGCTGGCAATTTGTGGGAGAAAAGATTAGCAGTGGTACAGATTGTTTTGTTAAAGTAATAAGCTTTGAGTCTGAATGTTGCTGTCCATGCTGAGTTATACTCACAGTGGTGTGAACAGACCATCAAGGGGAATCCCGCGTGTGAGGGAGATCACATTCTCTTCTTGACTCAGATATTTAATTGCTGCTCCTGATTAAAGGGAGTTTAGCCCAACTGTAAATCATAGATGTAATTCTCTGATTCTTTGTGAGTTACTGATATGTTATGGTGCAGAAAGTTAAACACAATTATAGGAAGAACCAAGGAGGCAAAGATGCTTCCTTGGTCAGTATTTTCTCTCAAATCACCCACAAAGTACAAAAAATACTTGGGACTGGGATATTTCATCCCCATGTATTCTGTTTCTTCAAAAGATGCAGACTTCAAAAGAGTTCCATTTCCTGAGGGTGTAAAGTAATTTTCTGCAGGTAAAATGTTACACTTTCTGGGTTTTATACCTTCAGACCAGCCCAATCTCATTAAATTCTTGGCAAAAACATAGTAAATAAAGGAACTCACATCTGTTATCTTCTATTTGGTTAAAATGTTTTCTGTATTGCCGAGTGGACTAATGTATATAGCAAACCCAGCACCTGTTGTAAAATTCTGTTCAACTCAATCCACCCTCTTTCCACCTGCTTGTTTCAGCCTCCTGCATTCCTACACTTATAAACATTCAGGTGATTACTGTGTATGGGAAGTGAAAGAGGGTGGGAAGGAAGGGAGAAAGGAGAAGCAGCTGTGTGAGCACTGTGTTTTAGTGGGTATAAAACCAGCTTAAAAATACTAGTAAGTGCTACTTGGAATAAAGATGGGCCGAACCCAGTATCTAAACCTGGAACTGATTTTTTCTGAAGTCTGTGCATTGTGTTATTGAGAGTGATTCCCAACCAACCATGTGGTTCAGGCTTATATTTAGACGCAGTTAAAATTTTCATTTGGTCTTGGAGGACTGAAGAAATAAGTACAGGTTGACCCTTTATCTACAAAAGATCTAACTCACACATGGGATGTCACTCTCCTCTCCCTTTCAGCTGCCTATGGTACATCAAAACTTCCCCACATGATCAAATCTTCTGCAATATCTAGGGCCTAGAAATACATGGCTAATGGAAAGATACCCAACCATTCGGGTGGATAAAATTCATCCTTCTGTTCTAGATCCTTTGAAGGCTGCAACTGTTTTACAGATGTAGGTATCTTAGAAAATGGATCATTTTAAGTTTTATGTCTCTCAGACACACTCATATGCCTTGCACTGAATCTTCTTTATTATTTATATTATCATCTGGGAATAACTGCAACTTCAAATCTGTAATGATACTCCTGTGTATTTTTTTGTGTTTGGAATGGCACGTAGAACCTTGAAAAAAGCTCTGGGTCTGAATTTGTTCTAAATAGAGAATAAAAAATAACCTTTAGATAAGTACCAGAGAGATGCCTCTGAGGTTGTAAACTATGAGAGAGGATCCTGCACAGCATGGCTTTAGGAACTGATAGGTTAAAATTACAGCCTAATAATAGTTCAGCTGGGTATAGTTTATTTTTATATGTATAATTTATAGCTTTCTACTAAATAAAATAAGCGAAAGGCTTTTAAGTTTAGAGAACAGCTTTTGTTCTATGTGTATGTGCATCAATTTTTCCATCATCACTTGCTGACACAATGGTGGAGACATATTTCAATTGTTAGTATACATTGTAACAAAAAGCTTGCTAGGTTCATCCTTTTTTGTTTTAGTTGGGGGGGGGGGGGAAATGACATTTTCACAGGTTCTCCTTATTACAATGAAACAGGCCTGCAAACACTTAGAAATTTTTAGAACAATGAGGTCTAGAACAATCTCTGAAGAGGCTGAGGAGGCTTGAGGATTATTAGTGAACAGCCATGCAAATTAGTTTGCATTACACTGTTACAGTCATACATATCTTGTGAAAAATGGCATCACACTATTTTCTGTTCTTGAGGCATGGTTGTCTTTGCTGAAACTTTCACAGCAAGCTGGAACATTTATGACTTTGTAACAAAGATTTGTAAAAAAAACCTGAAATGCAATAATTTGTTCTTAACTTTGATTGTTATGTGGATCTGTGAATGAATACCTCGAAAACCCACTTCTCAGGCATACTTTTCAGTATTACTCTTCAATAATATATAATTAATCTGTGTTTTGTTTTGCTCTCTGGCGAGTGCCATACTCAGTATAAGTAGGACTTTAAGGTTTCAGGACTGGTAATATTTATTTTGGCCTGTGCCTAAGCAAATGTAGCATACAAAAAGCTTAACTTTTTGTATTGAAAGAGGCACATCTGAAGTACACTGGTGAAACAAAAAGGAAAACCTCATAGAAAGCATCTCTGAGAAAATGTAATATTTCAATGATTTGTTTAAATATATCAAGAAAGGACACAAGGAACTAGATTCAGTTATCTCAGAGCAAAAAAATAAAGCCCCACAAAACCCAACAAAAAATTAACAGTCTGTTTAGCATTTTTCACTTTCTTCTTCAGAAAAATCTCCCGTTTACTTCTATGGAATTCAGCTGCAACCTCTGTACAAAGACCCTCGGTAGAAAGAGTGCTGCAAATGCTCATGTAATGAAGAAAATGTACTCTTGCTTCAAGGCATTTAAAAGCTTTCCCTAACGATGTCTAAGGATCCCACAAGTGGAATAGAAGCAGAATAAGAACTATCAAGCTCCCATTTTTAGTTTAAAGATGAGTAGACATTTTTTTCGCTGCAAAAAATGCAAGCTGAAGTTGCACTGATCCCATCACAAGTGTGGGAGTGTAGAGATGCTGCCGCTGTCAGTCACTGGGAGCATTGGCGGAGGCTGGACTTGGGGTGCTGGAGGAGGGGGACTAGCTGGGATGCAGTGTCCAAAGCAGCCCTTGCTGCATGTGGTCCCAGCCTCGTGCCAGTACTTTTGGTTCTCCTTGTACGCGACTCTACTTTTGTGACTAGATACAAGAGCTCTCCTCTCAGTGCCGCCTGTCTGAGCTTCGGTATCTCTTTGCTGTAGTCCCTACAGTACTATGTGAATGTGACCAAGAATCCACTTTTTAAAAACTTGTTAACTGTCAAAATTAACTTAGATTCTATTTTTGTTGCATTCTTGACATATTCCTTGTTTATACCTAATAACATACAAAGGTGATATTTAATATATTAAATTATAAGGTTGAACTTCTATGTCTTTTGACACAAAAATTAGGTGTTTGAAAGTCAAACACTCCAGTATCAAGAAATGTCAGAATTAAGGTTGCTTGTTTAAGCATAATTTAGCGCTCTCTGTACATTCATTTTTATATAGCTTTTAATAATGCAGTTACAACTGTATTTTTTTCTTTTCCACGGTCCTTTCCTTAATCTCTATATAGCATGGCCTATTTTAGAGATGAATCAGGTTTGGGACTTGAGAGAGGCTACCATACTGGATCTTACTCCATGTATTGCAGCAGTCAGAGAAAGCTGAATAAAGGGGCAAGGAAAAAAAAATTGTGGTTGTTTTACCATGTATGGCCATTACATATTTTGTTTTCTCGTCATTGGCCATTATGTAATTAATTTCCATACCTCATACAAGTAAATCCTGTGTTTCAACTCTGCTCTGACGACATGAAGAATAATACTATGAAAGCTTACGTACAGAACTGTGGCACCTAGGGACCCGAAGCACAGTGGTGATTGCATGTACATAGCTCACCAAGTGTAGCTAAAGAGCAGTTCCTTGTGATTTTAGCACTCATTCTACACATATGAGTTGCAAGCTACTGTTCTTTAAAAAAAAAAATTTATTTGCATTGAACTGAGGTTAATTCCTTTCCTATATTTTCCTGAGCTTCAACAGGGGGAACGAGTAAAGATAGGAAAGATTGAAAAAATTTACTTACTTAAAAATGAAATTATTAAATATGATACAAAGAACTGAATGTATTGTATGTATTAAAATGTAAACTAAAGAAAAGTATGTAATCATGTTGTTTTTTGCCAGAAGTTTTAAGGGAAATTAAATGTTACTGAACACATTTTCTCCTACCCACCCTAAATATCTACAAATATAAGATAGCTTAGGTCCACAAAATCACAGACTAGTTCATGTTGGAAGAGACCTCTCAAGAGCACTTAGTCCAGTCTCCTGCTCAGAGCAGCACCAACTTCAAAGTAGAGCAGGTTGCTCAGAGTTTTAGCCAGTCAAGTTTTAAATGTGTCCAAGGATGGAAATTTAATCATCTCTCTAGTTCTTAACCATTCACATTTTGGAAAA